TCAATTTTGTCATTAGGTTCATGTGTATTTAAACTTCATCTGACAATTCCTTTGCTCATTTTTCTCTTTCCTTGTTCTATTTAATTTTATTTTTATTTTGTATTTTTTGGTACTGGGGATTGAATCCAGGGACACTTCACCACTGAGCTATATCTCTAGTCCTTTTTATTTTTTTGTTTTGAGACAGGATCTTGCAAAGTTGCTGAAGTTTGCTAAGTTGCTGAGGTTGGCCTGGAATGAAATCTCCTCCTGCCTCAGGAGAGGGATCACAGGTGTGTGCCACTGTGCCTGGTCATTTTTTTAAATTTAAAAAAATTTAACACACACCAGGCACAGTGGCACACACCTATGAGGGACTGGGGATATAGTTTGGTAGTAGAGAGCTTGTCTAGCATGTGCCCTGGGTTTGATCCTCCACACTGAAAAAGAAAGAGGAGGAGGAGGAGGAGGAGGAGGAGAGGAAGTAGGAAAGGAAGGGGAGGAGGAGGATAAAAGGAAGTAGAAGAGGAAGGGGAAGAGGAAGAAGAAGAAATTGAATTGCTGATTATTTTTCAATTGGAGATCTTCCTGCCTCAGTCTCCCAAGTAGCTGAGATTATAGGTGTGTACCACCATATCCTGCTACTTCCTTGTACTTTGTATACTTACTTGTCTTTCAGGATAGTGCCTCCTCTGGATATGCTGCCTAAGTAGCTGGCCACTCATTTTCAAGCTCCTCTTCTTTTTTCTTTCTTTTTTCCTTGTGATACTGGGATTCAAACCTTAGGGTGCTCTGCCACTGAGTTATATCCTCAGCCCATTTTATTTTTTATTTTGAGACAGGATCTAGCTAAATTGCTGAGGGTCTAGCTAAATTGCTGAATCTGGCCTTGATCTTGCCATCTTCCTGTCTCAGCCTCCTGAGAGCATGGAAATACATGTGTGTGCCACCATGCCTGGCTGTAAAAGTTTATTATGGCCCAAAATGGAGTTTCTGACCTTCCCCACCAACCCTACAGCATGGCATGGCATGGCACCTCCACAGTCATTACTTCCTTCAGGCTTGTATGTCTCAGCTAATGCTAACCCTGTCCTTCCTATTGTTCAGGACAAAGCTTTGGATTCCTT